GAAGCTCCCAGCCTCTCCTTTTTTTCTTTTTTTCTTTTTTATTCTGGGATTTATTTACCTTCTATAATTGAAGCATTGTTGCTGTCACTGGTGCTCCCAGCTCTGAGGCCACAGCCAGCTGAAAGCAGGTATCTGGGGTTTGTTTAGCTTCTATAATTGAAACATTGTTGCTTTCGGGCTCAGAGCTGGGCCGTGACAGGTGCAGAACCTTGGCTTCCTCCATCACTGGAGCAAGCAAGCCTCCTGGACGCTTCAGCTGTGTGGCTGCCAGCCACCATCTTTGTAAGCAGTTAACTTGCATATCGCCCTGATTAGCCAATGGGAAGCATAGCGGAGGTACAGTTAATTACCCTTTTATCTTTTATTAGATAGGATAGTAAATACAATTAATATTAAGTGCTCATTGGAAAGCACAGTCCACACCACTTAAACACATTCTTTCCTATTGCATAAGCACCCAGTGCATGCCAATACCACCAATTGTGCTAAGCTTACTAGTCTAAACAGAGTGAGTAAAAATGCCTGACTGCACCTGCCTGTACTGTCCTCTGAAGTTAGTCTGTCTTCATTCCTAGAAGCATATTTCCAAGATAGTGCTCATTTACATTTCCACGTGATGTTTAAAATTTAATGCAGGGAAAAAGGAGCTTTGGGTTATTAAAATAAGGGTTCCAATATTTGGTTATAATATATTGTTTCAGAGATAACTCCTTGAATATCCAATAATATCAAGTATTTTGTTCTTTGCCATTTACTAGTCAAAATTTTTATTAACCAACCAACCAATGGGACATCCAGTTGACAGAGAGAGCTAATGTGAAACAGAAATAAATAAATATAAATATATGTATATCAACAGAGCCTGATATGAAATAGATTAAGTTTAAAAGAAAAAAATGTCAGAAACTGGCCCCTTCCAAATCACAACTGCAAAATTAAAGGGAAAAAGAAAACAAGAATTAACAGGATTCTTTACAAAACAACCAGGAGATTTTAGTGGATTTCAAATTCAATATAAGCCAATAGTGCAATGACACCAATTATGAGGTGTGCTGTGCCAGCACAGCCAAGGGTTCAGTGAGCCTGAAGAGGGGCGGCAAAGGATGTAGAAAAGACAGACAGAGAATAAGCTGGGTCTAGGTCAGTGATGGCGAACCTATGACACGCGTGTCAGAGGTGATAGGCGAACTCATGTTTTTGGTTGATTTTTCTTTGTTAAATGGCATTTAAATATATAAAGTAAATATCAAAAATATAAGTCTTTGTTTTACTATGGTTGCAAATATCAAAAAATTTCTATAGGTGACACGGCACCAAAATTATGTTAGGGTTTTTCAAAGTGCTGACACGCCGAGCTCAAAAGGTTCGCCATCACTGGTCTAGGTGGATCTTCCTGTGCCTGGCTGAGGCCTCAGAGAGAGATCCAGACAGCAAGCTGAGGCTTAATTTTATAGCCAGAGGTAAACAAGGTAGTGGTCATCATAGTTACAATGTTCTTGTGAGTTTCACTTGTTTTGCCAGCACTTGCTGCATCTCCCACAGCCCATTAGCTACCCAGATAAGATCAAGGGAGCAAGGTCAAGCCTAATTATGCTAAAGAGGGCTGTGCCCTCTAAGCTGGGACTTAGCCACCTGTTTGTGGCTTTGCCAACAGGTCCCTTCGAGGCTTAACCCTATAGCCGCTCCCTACAGTGAGAGAAAATGCTAAGCAATTGAATAAGGGGGGGTGGGGGGAACTATGCAGGAACTAATATAATGTGTTTCA